GAGTAAATGTGTCAACAGAACGGCTCCAGTGAAAAAAGAGAAGTTCGACAGTTCCAGTTTCTGGCTTGGCCGGACCATGGAGTGCCTGAGTATCCGACCCCAACACTGGCCTTTCTACGCAGAATCAAGTCCTGCAATCCTCAAGATGCCGGACCCATGGTGGTTCACTGCAGGTAGACCTTATCTTACATTAACGCAAATACTGCAGCATGCTCAAAAACTGTTTCAGATCATGTGACATTGCTGGAAACCATCTTCGTGTATGCAACTCTCAAACCAGTAACCAGCCCCTGTAAGGCACATGCACACTCTTGCAAGGTTTTCACAGCTACTCTGTGTGATGTTGATTTAATATACTTATTTGCTTTGTTTTCTGTCTCCATCTGTTGATCTGTATTGTTTAGTAATTCATTCATTTATTTATTCAGGTCTTGTGTGAGAACGTTGTAGCTGAAGTCTGATATTATCCTAAATTTCTAATATTTTTAAGTTTGTCTCAGGCTAACATTGATCTTGTTACAAAACCAGCTGAACCTTTTTCACAGCTATGGCGCCATCATTTTAGAACGAAGATTACAATGAGTTTTAAACACTGTTGGTACGTCCTGACATTTGCATTTGTGCAATTTATTTCTCTATGAACACAAATGCAAATACACCAAAGTCCTAGAGGTGAATCAGGCAGACAGAGATGCAGCCTGGAGGAAGCTCTCACAGAAGCCTTTTCACCCCAATTTCCAGTGTAAACATTAATCTGCCTTTAGACATGCTTGGACAATAAGTCGCAGCCCAGTTTGTTCAAAGCACACTAACACCTTTAAGCCAAGAGCAGCAATTCTGTTTAAATACTTTGCTTTAAGTGCTGAACGTTCTTCACAGCTAACCCATCAAAGAAAACGTGTTGTGCCGAAAGAAAACAGAAATCCTTCAAAGTGTTTTGGTACGCTGCACACAGCACACTCGTGTTTACCAACCCAGCTGATGTGGGGAGCGTATCAAAGGAACAACAGGAGCAAGGATCTGAAAAGCCAGTCCAGTCTTCTGTAGGCAGCGTGCTCCCTCCCTGCTGTCTGAAGGACCTTCACACCACTTCTTCTGTGAAGAAGTAGGATCAGTGATTTCAAAGTGTAGCACTGAAATACTTCAGTATCTAAAGCTCATACTGCATTTAGTCACACTCCAACCTGTAATAAAGAAAAAGCAAACGGAGGAAACTGGAGAAAAACAACTGCTGTGCATCTTTCACTCTACGCCCTAATGTGGCCGTGTGTTACTCACCATGGTCTCATGTGTTCACACACAACATGGTTTATAATTGAAATCCATTGATCTGTTTACAAGAATGAGTTAAGTTGGTCAAATGAACAGAAATGTGTTTGATTCTGTAAATCAGAATACTGCACAGCCTTCCTGTTACCAAAGAATCGCCAACAACACATTATTTCACTTTATTTGTCTTTAAATGGAGGGAACAGAGGCCCTTATGCTGGAGGGATGTCACTTCCTGTTTGTGTTGTCATATAGTGCAGGAAAAGGGACCCAAATACAGAAAAACACATTTATTAGGTTAATGCACAGAACCAAAAATAGTAAGTCCACTGGGGAAAGACAAAAGACACAAACAAGCCACACAGGGAGGGTAGAGAAATGCTAAGACATGGATGAAAGGGAAGGGCTTGATTATAGATTTACACATGAGATAATCATGGATAATTGAACACAGGACAGTAACAAGAAAAAATTAATTTAGGACATTTACAGAGGAGAAGTAAAACTATCAGAAAGACAAAATAAATCAGGAAATAGCCAAAAGAAGAACTATTAAAGAAACAAACATCACACTACAACATAACATACAGTGAGGAAACACTGAGGGTGATAAGAATGGAATAAACCGAAACCACAAACAAAAAAAATAATGAAACATGCTCAGAGAAAGGAAAAGAAGCCAGTCCGTGAGTATCCGAGTCCAAACTATGAATACTAAAATACAGAAAGAGCCAAACACAAAGCTGAGCCTGCAAAGTAAACAAAACACACAGACTCTAACATCTATGCTTCTCCACCAGATTTATGTGGCACCCAATCAGAACAATGGCTGCCTAAAGGTGCTTTATGTAACAATAATGCAGAGAAAAGCCCAACAATCAGATGATTCCCTGTGAGCAAGCACTTGGCAACAGTGGGAAGGAGAAACTCCCGTTTCACAGGAAGAAGCCTGTGGCAGGACCGGCGTCAGGGAGGGGCGGGGCCATCTGCTGCAACCGATTGGGAGGAAAAAATAATAATATCACATCGTTTATGCGCTTTTCTTTGTCTTGGCAAGCAGAACTCTTCTTTATTAGTCTGCTCTCGTCGAAGGTTCGTTTTAATCACATGCTGAATGCAGGAAGAATGCATCATACGAACGAACTGCTCCCTTGTGATTTCATTCTCCTCTGCCGTCCTTTCAAAGTCAGCTTAAAATTCAAAAACGGACACTGCTGAAGGTCGTGTAGAAACAGGAAGTGACATATAGCTGTCATCAGGGACTCCCACGTGCCGCTGCAGCTTTTGGATGTTCGTTTCCTCCGTTTTTTA